TTTTTTTTTTATTTTTTTTTTTTTATTTACTTTCTTTAAATCATTATATATATATATATATATATATATATATATATATATATATATCTCTCTATCTTTATTTATTTTTTTTTTTTTTTTTTTTTTATTTTTTTTTTTTTTTTTTTTTTTTTTATATATATATATATATATATATATATATATATATATATATATATAATATATATATATATATATATATATATATATATATATATATATATATATATATATATATATATATATATATATATATATATATATATATATATATATATATATATATATAAAGTGAGATTGCATTAATTATAATAATAAACCAGGTTTCCTAATATATATATATATAGTGAGATTGCATTAATTATAATAATAAACCAGGTTTCCTAATATATATATATAGTGAGATTGCATTAATTATAATAATAAACCAGGTTTCCTAATATATATATATAGTGAGATTGCATTAATTATAATAATAAACCAGGTTTCCTAATATATATATATAGTGAGATTGCATTAATTATAATAATAAACCAGGTTTCCTAATATATATATATATATAGTGAGATTGCATTAATTATAATAATAAACCAGGTTTCCTAATATATATATATAGTGAGATTGCATTAATTATAATAATAAACCAGGTTTCCTAATATATATATATATAGTGAGATTGCATTAATTATAATAATAAACCAGGTTTCCTAATATATATATATAGTGAGATTGCATTAATTATAATAATAAACCAGGTTTCCTAATATATATATATATATAGTGAGATTGCATTAATTATAATAATAAACCAGGTTTCCTAATATATATATATTTATATATAGTGAGATTGCATTAATTATAACAATAAACCAGGTTTCCTAAAAAGACTTTTTAGCAAAACTTCGATACAGGTATAGTTTGTCACGAGATCAAGAATGAAATGTTCCTGTATGAAGTTTAAGTCAAAAAATTAAAAATGAAAGACCCGAAATTGCACCCGAAACATGGATAGCATCATGATGCAATGACGTTAATCGATGTGCTATAACAAGTAAAACATCATCATGAAAGAAACATGCAAAAAGAAACTTATGTAAACACCATAATCATATTATTATCTTATTCAGATTAAGGCAATTTAATTTGAGTAATTTGATTACTGATGTACATGTAAACATAGTCATTGGTTAAAGGTTTTCAGCTTTGTTGAAAAAATATCTCTCTTGGTGTTTAACAGAAGTAATAAACCCATAGAGCTTTAAAACCATTTGATGGTGATTTAAATGATGATACAGTTGTCAATTTTTTAATTCACTTAAAAAAAAAAGACCATCTAGATCTGGCTGTGAATGAACATGAACCAGCATACAGCAGATATCCAACTAAGACACTTTTGAACTACACACAAACACCTACTGTATTCATTCATGCTTCAAGAGAGACCCGAGCTCATAAGATCCATGAGCCCGGGGCTCCCTCCTGCTTGAAAGGCGAGAGAGGAGTTTGAGCTTAGGTAGATCTTGAGAACTCTCCTGCTGCAGGAGTAGCTAATGAACAGATCATGATTGCTCTTAAGAGGTAACTACTTACTAGAAGCATGTCTACGGTGCCGATTTGGCAGTCAATTAACTTGTGAGCTAGGGAAGAACGTGTAAACTCTGCACAGAAACGTTGGCTGGTTTGGTAAGGACTAGAACCAGTGAAGTTCTAACCACTGGGCCACCGTGCCACCCATCCAGGAAGAGGGGTAGGGGTGAAAGGGAGGAATCTTCAAAAAGAAGATGGTTGTTATGTGGAACTTTTGGGTATTTATAGTGGCTTAGGAATCGTCTGATTGGTGAATCATAAATTGGATAATGCAGGAGTCAGCAGGACCAGCCGCAAGCAATCATAAGCATGTGATCCTCTCGAAATTAGTTTAAAATTAAACTTCACTTTAGGAGTACTTTCTTACTTGCAATGGTAATTCTGTGGCGTATACGAGTGTCGATGGGGAAACTGGGCATCCCATCGCTGACAAGTCACTCCATCAGGTGTGATGCCAATCGTCCCGCGATACCCCTCTCCGCGTCCACGGAAACAAGTTGTTGTGTTTTCAACGTCACCACTGTTGTCTGAATCTGAGCAAACAGAGAAAAACAGAAACAGAAAGACAAAGGGAGTGAGAAAGTAAGCAGCATAATATCCCTCCTTAGGCATGATGAACACTGAATCATGGATTCAACGTTAACTGTAAGACTGCGCTGCCTTGGGGAGGAATAACAACAGCTTTATCCTGCTTAACAGAGAGAGATGCTTCCTGAATGAGTCAAAGCAGTCACTAAGTCTGTGACAAATGCTAAAACAGTAGCCTACTGAGCTTTTTTTAGGGTACAACGTAAGCATTTCATGAGCACACAACAGATCTATATTGTTTTTTGCCCATGCATCTCATTGCAATAAATTACGCTCATTAGAAGACAGAGTTATTATGTTTACCTCCGATAACCTTCAGTCTGCTAATGAGGCTAGCAGTATATAGGCCAAGTCTTGCTAATAAAACCCATAGTCAAACTCTCAGATTGGTCTAACAGACTTTGAGGATTTAAAGAGTACAGTTGATTCTAGCTTATGTACTGTACTGTTATTATGCTAGCTTGGCTTTTTATTTTTGTGGTGCTAAAGAATGCTAACTCAGGCTGTAATGTATTGAAGACAAACTCAAAGGTTAAGAATTGGAAACAATGAGGCATTCTGAGTTTTAAAGTCTTGCTGCGTTTACTGCAGAAGAGCATGGTGTGTTTTAAAAGCATGTTTAGCTTTATAGAGTATCAAATAGTCTTCTTAAAGGTATTGTTCCTTCTGCAAGTGGACGAAAGCCACTTCTTGTAAAAGTAGATGCACCTATGATGGTTTTCACAGAAGTAGGGTGACTAGATTTCTGAAATCCTTACAAATGTTTAAACATTTTATTAAATATATATATATATATATATAACTTTTAAATATAATTTTTAAATTAAATATAAATATAACTATCAAGTTACATTCCTTATAGTTAACCACTGTTTTGTCCACTCTGTAAATAAATGGGTAAAGATGATTCAGCAATTATATGAGGGAAGTTCTGTTACTTTCAACATAATTGACAATGTTTATTCATGTTTTTACCTAGCTTAACTACTGTTCATATCGCATTCACTTCAAACTTAATTTCTCCATGCTTTCTGTAACAGACAATTTACTTGACACAAGTAAATTTTAATAACTGCACCTTGATCAATATGGAAATGTGACTGGATGATAATGCTGTTATTCAAAATATCCTATGACATGATTGCAGTTTTGAATTACAAAGGCTGAAATGACTGTAACTGAGTATTTTTTTTTCTTTTTACTTTATTAAGGAGTTTAAAAATGTGAATGTACACTCAGCGGCCACTTTATTAGGTACACCTGTCCAACTAGTCCTTAACGCAAATTTCTAATCAGCCAATCACATGGCAGCAACTCAATGATTTAGGCATGCAGACAAGGTCAAGATGATCTGCTGCAGTTTAAACTGAGCATAAAGAAAGGGGATTTAAATAACTTTGAACGTGGCATGGTAGTTGGTCTGAGTATTTCAGAAACTGCTGATCAACTGGAGTTTTCATGCACAACCATCTCTAGGGTTTACAGAGAATGGTCAGAAAATATCCAGTGAGCGGCAGTTCTGTGGGCGCAAATGCCTTGTTGATGCCAAAGGTCAGAGGAAAATGGCCAGACAGGCTCGAACTGATAGAAAGGCACCAGTAACTCAAATAATTACTTGTTACAACTGAGGTGTGCAGAAGAGCATCTCTGAACACATAACACTTTTTTGTGAAGTAACAAAAGTGTAGTTTTTGAGTAGACAAGGGTTTTGGGCATTCCATTTAAACGCATTCAGATGTTCAGCCAGAAGTGGACACTTGTGTAAAGTAATCAATGAGGTACACGTGTCAACGTGATGAAGGGAAGTTTAAAAAACTAGACTGGAATGCATCCCTAGTTGAAAATATTTCAACTTTTCAGAATGCTGCAACTGCATGTGTCATGTGAAATTTCACAAACTAATTTCAAGTGGAGCATGTGATATGATTGAGCACGACTGGCTGCTCATCTGTAATCATTAATAATCCAATCAGAGTGATTCAAGCTTACAATAAATTGATAGTTTTTTTTCCGACTGCTCTATCGTTGTTTTGGAAGAATCCCCCCCTTCCACATCTCCTCCTTTTCCTCCTTTTTCTAAGGAGAGCACTCAAGACCTACCTGATATCGGATCCCCTTAAATGCTTATTGACCAGGCGGAAGCCTTGGGCTCAAGTATCTCTGAGCTCAGGGTTCTCTCCCTGGACAGCATGCCAAACCTGCTATTAACGCTAGGCATATATAAGTGGGAACTCTTAAAGTATAGATTACACACATTTCAGTAATAACAGTAGACTAATTACCTCAGACAAATGTAGAGCACACGGACACTAGTGTTTTTTTTTTTTTTTAATTCCTCCATAAATAAAATTTGTATCAAAGCTACAGCAATGGTTTTTCAATTTGTCATTCTCTAATGCCGAGTTCAGACTGCACAACTTTCAAAGTAGTCGCGTCAAGGATGTTTTCACACTGCATGACTATCTGGGGTTGCGTTTTGTCGCTGCTGTGTTTACAGTGTAAGATGGATCGGCGACAGGGGGTTTCACACTGTAGGCTTTACAATAGGAAGAATCGCAGACAACTTTGTCTCGGTCCAAAAACTACATCTCACAATCAAACACATGAGAGAAATGACATGGAAACAACGTGAGGTCATGTAGTATATCGTTTGTTATTAACTACATAATGAGAAGGAAGCCTTTAGTGGGGTAGAAAATGTAGGTTTTGAAAGGAGTTAGCAATTCTTTTTCTTTTTCGACCCGGTTGTGATATTGCTCAGATGACACAGACACGGGTGCTCCTGCCAAATTTACATTAGTTTTTCCTTCATTTCTTGGGTTCAAATAAACTGAAAAGAAGCACTTTTAACTTCTCCCCCAGCCTCCCGTTGGCCAGCAGATACCCATACTAGTGGATGCTGCTCTAGCAGTGCGTGGCTGTATGTAATCGCTGATGTTATATTCAATCAGAACACATTTCACACGGCATGATTTGAATCTCTCAGATCATGTCTTTGATAGTTCACACTGTGTGATTGTTACTTGCATGAACGAGCAACGATTTACCTGTGATTTCAGGCATTTGTCAGCGATTTATCAAAACCTGACGGCGAGTCAAAATGAGGGCTAAAATCCTGCAATCTAAACTCAGCATAAGAGAATGGTTGATGGTTGTCTAGCAATGATATAAGCAATGGAAAGCGAGCACAAAAGTATGCTGAATTTAGTGAAGGAAGCCACATACCTCGCACTTTCCAAACATTTTTACAGACTTGATATGTAGACAACCCATACACAGCTAAACACAGCTTTTTTTCAGATGCTGAGAAGTGTGAAAAGGTGTTGCTTTGCCAAACAGGAAAAAGCATGGTGAAAAGTTCCTCCCAGGATGGTGATCTCTGAGAATCGGTCACAGGATTTTGCTCAAGGTTATGATGTGGGTTTTGCCAAATAGCTCTGAAAAACAAATGCGACCCCCGCGGCTCAGTCTAAAATAGTAAAGACTGTCTGACTTTCTGCATGGCTTCCCATATGAACCAACATGCCATCGCCTTGCAAATGAAAATAAACTAAAGCAGTGTGAGGAGAAGGAGGAGGGAGTGTCGTAATAATAATAGATTTTTGGGCACTCGTGGACTTGTGTGTTGGAGCGCACTTGGGGCTTGAAACCCACATGCGTGTTTCGTCTTTAGCGTGGAAGGTTTACATAGCACTTGAAACTCAAGCACATCTCTCTCATGCAGATAAAGGAACGCTCTACTGCGCTGATGAGGAAAAATAAACACACAGGCACATTACTGAAAGAGAGAGAGAGAGGGTTTTATAGGTGGACCTTCTTCTCTCTCTTCTCCCGGCTACAAACAACATTCCTGTGGGGGTCCCAAACGCGAGGGGAGCCGGGGCTACAGGAAGAGGAAGTTGTAAATTTGGCAAACTCTGCCTCTTTTCATTCTGTTTCTCTCCGGCTTCTTCTTTTTTTTTTTGTTCTCCGCTGTGTCTCTTCATCTTACACATAAGACGCAGACGGACACTCACCGCACTGTTTGATGTTACAGTACTCCCATGGAGTGCTGGGATCGGTGGTGAAACACCAGGGTCTCTGGCGCCCGTCTGGGTTCCTGCAGTAGTTGTCCTTTAGACCTTTATCGGGGTACCTGTCATAGGAAGGGCAAAGAGAACACACTTAACACGCCACATATCAACTATCTCAGAGCTACAGCACCACTGATTTACAGCCGGGATAAAATTCTAATAAACTCCAGAAAATACATAACATGCTCTCTGCTACTGGTAGAGCAGGACTTCTGCAAAAGCGAATAAGACAGAAGGCTGCTGCAATGCACAGACTTAACATTAGTTCAAAGTTTCCTTTCTTTTTAATTCATGAGTGTTTTAATGAGTTTAAAATATGTATTAGAATAAATTCTGAAATATCATGTGATGTGATAATGAATGTCAGATGTAGGGTTGTTAAAAATGTTGTCTTTTTTGGAAAATGTTATTACGCCCAAATACCGTACCTTAACTTTCAAACTATATAATCATATGTGAAATATTTTCACTTTATTACTGTTTAAGTTTAAGAACGTTTAAGAACATAAACATGTTTGTTTATTAAAGAACATTTGTGTGCACACGCACACTACCTGATAAAGTCTTGTTGCCTATCCATGTTTTAGGAATGACAAATAATAACTTGACTTCTAGTTGATTATTTGGTGTTAGAAGTGGCTAATATAAAATGGTGAAGTCCTTTAGATGATGCAAATTTTACCAAAATAAAATACGATTATGCCTTGATTTTTAATTATTTAATTAGAACAGTAAGGTCTGACTTCTTCTTGACTTCTTAAAAGTCTTGTCACTTAACAGTAATAATGTAGAAAATAAATATATATATATAATCAGCATATATGAGTACACCCCTCACAAATCTATCTTTTAAATTAATATTTTTAATAGGAAGCTACTTAGTCAGTACTGTAGCCAAATCTGGAGCTAATCTAACAAAATAACTTACGATAACAGTCCAAAAACAAGTACACCCAAATGTATGTAATAGAAAAATATTAAATACAAATGAAAAAACGTAAACCCAAGGGAAGCAAAAAAAAAAAAAAAAATTGAAAAATTTAATTGAGATTTTGTATCTTGCATTTTTTTTTTTGCAATATTTTGCTTGAATTTAATTGTATTATCCTTCAATATTTATATATCTTTGGTGACTAAAATTTTACTTTAATAAATATATCTGTTTAATAAATCTGTTTTGTTTAAATGCACCAAAATACATTTACTATATTTACTGAGAAATTGATACAAATATTTATTTTCAAAATGTGGAGTACTCAATTATGCTGAGCACTGTATGTATATAAAAAAATTATATATATATATATATATATATATATATATATATATATATATATATATATATATATATATATATATATATATATATATAT